AATATCTGTTAATACATTTTTGTTTTCATAAAAGTGTAAAGCACCTATATAAATGAAATAATGTAAAAAATGTACTGCCAGTTCATCAGGTAAAAATAATGCCACAAATATTGGTGATACATAAAGATTATGATGAACGAGATCTCAGCAAATGGATAAATGACTTAAAAGAATTAAAAGATGAACTTATCGAATCATCGAACTTCCGCGTCAAAGAAGATAAACAACAATGTTCTTGGATTCAGAAGATCAGAGTACACGAAGATTTCCGCGACCAACTAAAAGCAAAAGATGGTAACTTATGATTACATCGAGTTTACCATTGTCGACAGAGAGATTTAAGAGTCTACGGGGACGTAAATAGCCTAGTTTTGTGAAGCTGAGTCAGATCTTACCGATTTTTTCACATATATTAAAATGCCAACAAATATTTTGACGCAGATTATTTTTCTGAGGGATAATTAGACTTTACAGCTAGCAAGTTCACCGATTACCGTACCGTAATCAATCAGCATGACTGTAGTAGATCACGCAGAAAGTGTTCCCCAAAATATCCAAGAGTTCTTTGATCAGGGTCGCATTGTGAAGTTGTCAGTAAAGCATGACTTGCAAAGCTAAACACAGCATTCGTGTTAGAGAAATAAAGACTCCACATGTCTGCCTTCAAGCTCCATTTGCTCCCTCTTCAGGTTATTCAAAGCTACAATTCTCACCGTTACCAGCGACCAAGCCACCACCAGCTGGAACGCAATTGAAAACATCAAGTGCATCGGAAACATATCCGACAAAACTATCAAAGGAAGTGGACGAAATTATAGAAAAACTAAGGTCTAATGACACAACAAGTCTTAATATTGGTGGCAACAATATATCAGATGCAGGGGCAAAAGCAATTGCAGAAGCCTTGAAAACAAACCAAACATTAACAGCTCTTGGTATTAACAGCAACAATATATCAGCTGAAGGGGCAAAAGCAATTGCAGAAGCCTTGAAAACAAACAAAACATTAACAGTTCTTGGTATTAACAGCAACAATATATCAGCTGAAGGGGCAAAAGCAATTGCAGAAGCCTTGAAAACAAACAAAACATTAACAGCTCTTGATATTAACAGCAACAATATATCAGATGCAGGGGCAAAAGCAATTGCAGAAGCCTTGAAAACAAACCAAACATTAACAAAACTTTTATTATTCCCAGATCAAGTTGCAAAACATTATATGCATCTTGTATGTAGTGGTCACTTTAAAACATTGATTACTTATTGGGAACGTATTTTATTACCGGGTGTATTTGATCAAGGTTCAAATTATCTGTAGTATTACCACATTCATTTGCTTACCAATTTATGCCACTTGTTCAATATGATCAATGAAAAACAAAAATGTTTCGGTAAGCCTTTTTCGATCTTTTTGCCAGAGAACTCAGGAAAAATGCATTAGCAGGGAAGAAGTTAGAAAACACAGCATTCGGAGAGCATATATACATATAGTTTACCCGTACGCAAGATTTTTTGTTTGGGAATTTTTAGAAAAACAGCTTTTATTCCTCGATGTTTGATACTTTATCAGATAGCCTGGGAAAATCTGAATTTTGATTACTTGTTCTTTTGTTTTTCTTTTTTAGTGATTTTCTTCTTTATGTATCACCAATATTTGTGGCATTATTTTTACCTGATGAACTGGCAGTACATTTTTTACATTATTTCATTTATATAGGTGCTTTACACTTTTATGAAAACAAAAATGTATTAACAGATATTGAAAATTTTTTTAATTATTATTATCCAACTTTGGCGAAACATTATGGTGCAAAATCCCAGTTATGTACAATCCATCTTCATTTACATCTCAAAGAACAAGTATTGAAACATAGTTCATTATCATTAACGTCGTGTTTTCTTCGTGAAGATTATTTGGGACATTCATTAAAATGGTGTCATGGTAAAAAATATGTCTTAGAACAATTTATTACATGGTATTTGGTTAATCGTACATTACGTCGAAGTAATGAATTAAGTATTAATGACTTATTTCTTGCCAAGAAGTTTGACGAAAGATATTTAAACAACAAAATTATTCAAATGTATGAAGAACTTATTATGGGAATCGACGGACAACAAAGTATCTCTTGATTCAAATCACTTCTCGCATTTTGGCGCGAATAGTAGCGCCACTTAAAACGCGCGAAACTTTTTTAAATACATTTGTATTCTTCGACAGAAACTAATACGAACGAATTTGATTTAATTATTATAGAATCGCTATCGGACTATCGGATGACTTAAAAAATATGTAGAATATGTTACTTGTCGAACATAACAAATGAAAAAAAAGGATATCCTATCTTTGGATCGATTATCAAATCCGAACTAGAATTTTGCATTATAGATCTCAAATGAGTGATTCACAAAGAATTAATTATTGGGTTCGGATCCGAGAATTTTGTTTGAGCGGGTCCGGGTCCAAAAAAATTTAATCAACCGGGCCCGGGTTTGAATAAATTTTTATCATCGGATCCGGGTTCAAAAATCATGGACCCGATGGGCTCTAGTGGTGGGCCAAAAGAATCGTAACGGAATCACGCTTTTTCCGCTTCTGACTGTAATTTCTCAGTCAGTTCAAAAGCATTAGCGCAAAATCGACTTTTTATACGGGGAACAGAATCGGTCCAAATTTTTTTGGAGCTGCATATTTGATAACATCTTGAGACCATTTTAGTGCTAATGTTTCTAATTCTTTCCTTATAACAACATTTTGCGAAAACCCAGCCACAGTCGGTTCTTCAGATCAGTCTACCAGCATTCTTTTCATTGTCGATAAAAAACCGGACAATGGCAATCTACGTCGAAATGTATAATGCAGTTTTACTTTGCCATGCATACTTTCAAGCCCGTTATTTGTTAACGGGTATCCTAAAGAAGACCCTTCAAACCAGTATTTTAGTTTATCGATCCATTCTTTTCCGAAATATTCTTTAAACGCATATAATTGTTTATCACTTTCCCTACAATACCCAGAAATTTAACCAACAACAGAATAATGATCGTGTAATAAAGGAGCAGCCTACCACTTTTGAATCAGTAAGTTAGATGCTATATCAAACAGATATTCATTGCAGCGTATGAAATATATGTCATAGTCCAGCTCGTCCCATTTGTCTTTTGGTACAAGTGTTCTGTGAGCTCTACAGCGTGAGGCCAACACATGAGTCTTACTGCTGCTGGAAAGTCTTGTTGTTGAGCAGACGCTAAACCTTTAGACACATCGCACATAATTCACCTATATCTCTTTCGGTGATTTTTAAGGAACAGAAAGGAATCTTTTCCTTTTCGACATTTTCCACGAAGACCTTGGGAGGAAGGCGTTTATAAAAGCAAATGCTGATATGAAGTAAAAGACACGAAGAAAGAAAACCACCAAGAACAGTTCAAAGGTCTGTCTTCAATCCCTTATATCGGGCAACGATGCGCCCATTAGATGAAAAACATATAGGAAAAATTTAGCCGAAAAAATGCAAGAGCTTCAGAAATAGTTCTCCTTGTACGAAATTTAACAAAGTTAATAGAGAAAACGAAGCATATTCTTAGTTTAGGCTCTTTCAACTGTCGACAAGTAAACAGATTTGTCAGCTTGGACTTATATACGTGGAGAAGAACAATTAATTTTCAAGCTAACTAATTTTTCCAAGAGGTATGATAGGTGTAGGTTTTCCTGCAAAATCAATCTTCATAAGCATTCATAAGAAAACCTAATCTGCATTTAGAATCAGCACACGAAATTGCACCTGATGATGTACAACTCGACTATATCTTGCGACTTTTTTTCATACGAAAGGCTAAAAATCGTGTGTTCTTCTTCTATACATGTAAGGCGGTAAAAGATCTCTTTTTCAAAAAAAAAATTTTTCGCCACCGTCTGTGTCATCCATTAACTGATAATGCACCCATACTGCACCTGACACACCTGATACGTTTTTACGGCTTCTACGATTGCTTTTCGCCCTTCAGCTGATATATTGTTGCTGTTAATACCAAGAGCTGTTAATGTTTGGTTTGTTTTCAAGGCTTCTGCAATTGCTTTTGCCCCTTCAGCTGATATATTGTTGTTATACATATAAAGCTCTGTTAATGTTTGGTTTGTTTTCAAGGCTTCTGCAATTGCTTTTGCCCCTGCATCTGATATATTGTTGCTGTTAATATCAAGAGCTGTTAATGTTTTGTTTGTTTTCAAGGCTTCTGCAATTGCTTTT